TTCTCTTAGGGTAGAGCAGGGAAGATCATATTTTCTGAGGACTTCCATAAAGATTCTTGAAATGAGCTACAGAACCCATTCACATTAATACCACAACCTCAAAGGCAAACTGAAAACTTCAGACGCTCTTGCAAAAATGTGTGTCAGGTGAGAAACCTCTCTGGACCAGGGTCGCCTCTATTCTAAGTGCCAGGGAGGAACCTCTCCAGGCAGAGTGATAAGGGGACAGAGAAGAGGCAGGCTGCCCAGTGAACAGGAACTCCAGCGAGGGCCCCTGCTCTTAACCAGGGCAATGGCTTTCTGAAAACTGTGATCTTCAGGAAACAGTACTGATTTGCTATAGACCAAGCAAAGCTATAGAATTCCCCAGGAAGTTAAAATCACTTTTTTTCTTCTGTCTGAAGTAGAACTGTCCTCTGGGAGGAGCTGCAGATCAATGTGGACTGTGTTTTTTGTTTCAGTCACAATATAACCATGACTGTTGTCACTCTGTTCAATTAGATGATCTTAAAAAAAAATTATGCCAAATAGTCCAACCTTTTGCTCTGTGGTAGACTGGTGCAGGATTGACACCCAATTTATTGGCATTTTCCTATACTGTCATCCTAAACAGTCCCTCCCATGCTGACTTTGGGTTTGGCCATGTGAATCACTTTGGCCAATAAGGCAATAACATGTGTTCTATAAGCAAAGACTTGAAAAGCCCTTACACACTGGGACTCACCCTCTTTGGCTGCTCTTGAAATCCCTACCATGACTGCCATGGGATGAAGTAGCCTGCTGGAGGATGAGAGACATGTGGTGCAGTCACCACTGCCACCCCAGTCAATGGCCAGCTGATATTCTCAATTATGGCTGCCGAGGTGAATGGCAGCTAACCACAGACCCACGAAGGAACCCAGGTGAGACCAGCAGAGCAACAGCCATCCAGCTGAGACCCACTCAAATTGCTGACCCTGAGAATCACAAGCTGTTTGAAGCCACTAAGTTTTGGGGTAATTTGTTACACAGCAAATGCTAACTGATATATGCCCCTTTATTATTTCATGGAATGGAAAAACAACAAATCTTAGAATAGTTACTGCATCTGTGATGATGCTTCTAATCAGTCATTAGTTTTTCTTCATTTGCAGAAAAACAGAATAAAGAGTGTCATAGATACACCATAAGAATGTTGCTGAGAAAATATCTTTGTTTTTACAGAATTCCTAAAGGACCAAATCAATCTCTTTGGGTGATTCCCTGAAATCCTCTGTGGGTGTACTAAACAGCACTGAAGGAGTGACAGCAGCCACAACTGTGTCTTCATTTCTTCACCCCAGAGCCTGTGGGAGGAGCCCTTTCTTGGTCTGGGTTTGGTCCTTGGATGTCAAGCAGAAAGTCTCACCAAATGCCTAAGAAGTAGCCCAACTTTCAAACAACTTGTTCCAGTGATGTCACTGGTGTACCCTTTCTGGCTAAGGTAAAAACGCCAACCTGCTCCATCTTACTATTAGTCAGACGTCACTATAAAGATATTAATACACAGTAGGTACTAGTATTATGATTAAAGATTCCAGTTGCTATATCATTAAAAGAACTGTTTCTTTTAATGATGGGCTACCACTACTGTTGCCAGGACAGAGAAATATAACTGGGTGACAGCTCACTCCTCCAGAGGCCTGCACTACCTGTCAAAGCCTTGGACAGGCCAGGTGGAAAAGCCTGTTGCCCCAGGCACACACCTCCTAGCATTTAATTTAAAAGATTGCCTCTGAGTGGGTTTTGCAACTTTGCAGTGGTTGAGGTCATTGTGTGAAAATTGTTGCAATAAAATGAATTCAGTAATTGATTGTCAAAAACGTGGATAAAAAAATTGCATTTAAATATTGCTTGTACTTATTTGCAAGCTCAATCAGAAGCCCATGCAAGTCTTAAAGAGGAATAAAATTCTTTTGAGTTTAGTTCATTATGAAGCCACAGAAAGTTAACCAAGGACTATCAGCTGTTCATCTCCACTGACCTTGGCATAGTGTAGTTCTTCAAGGATATGGATATAACAAGAGGGAGGGGAGGAATGAAGCCCAATGAGTGACAAAGGAATGAGGGAGACATTCAGGAATTTCTCTTACATTTTCAATATAGTAACTATCTCAAACATTTTATGGCTGGTAGATATTACATATTGGAGCCGATTTTCCAAAAATTCATAACAAAGCTGAAAAGCCTCTGCTGGCCAACTTGGCCACTTAGGGGCTTGGGAGCATCTCTGCACAGGAGAGGCCTGACTCCTTCCCATCATCTTCAAACAATGGCAAATTTCACTTTTTAAGTATTTCTTCACTTCTAATACTATTCTGATTCTCTCTCTCACCATCTCTTACAATAGGCCCCCAACAGGATCTGTGCCCCCAGTTTGGTCCTAGCCCCACGCCTGCTCCCCTCTCACCTCCATCTCCCCTACACCCTGGTCCCACTCTGCAGCCAGAGCAGCTTCCGAAAATACAGATCTGACCACAGCCTCCTGCCTGAAACCCCTCAGTGGTTCTCCACGCACACGGTAGCCGTCAAGGTATCCAGCAGGGTGGCTGCATGGTGTGGCCCAGCAGCACCCCTGGAGCTGAGGAGGGCTGAAGCTGTAGATGGGCCTGGGCTCTCCAGTCTCAGGCGCCTCCCCTCTCTAGGGCCCCTTCTTGACTCTGTTACTAGTCTTTCCTGCCTTGTAGGCCTCTGGGTTTGTGACTTCGCCTAAAATCCAGCCTCCCTTAGATGACTGGTATGGTCCTCAGTGATGGGAGCCTGCCTTCCTCTTGGTCTTGTCTCCTCAGTCTCACCATAATCCATAGGTCTCTGCAATTCTAACCAGTTACCGTTCCCTGCAGATCTAGGTTGGATGCCTCTGTGCTTTACCTGCTCACGATGCCCCCTTGGACTAGAGTTGTCCCACCACCTCCCCATGAGCCTTCTTACCCAACAGTCAAGATGCCACGCAGGGGACACCTCCTTTGCAATAACTCCCGACCCCCACATTGAGCTCGAAGCCCCATCCCCTGCTCTGGATGTTCTCAGAGCAGACTGGGTATTCTATCATCATAACTCCTATGCTATGCTGAAACGGCAATTTTGTGTATCTGTTTCCTAAACTTCAAGCAGGTCAGCAGCACTTTTACTTTTGCTTTCAGCAAAACCAGACCTTGGAAAACAGTGGACACTTGACAGAGGCTTTTGAATGGAAGCTAAAGCACTCTCTCAACTTTCTCAAAACGCTCGCACGGCCAGAGCTCATACCCTTCTCTTGCCTTTAACAGGTGTCATCAGAGGGTGCCAAGTTCTCTTTGGCTGACCTCTCCCACTCCAACAACTTCTCTCGACTCCCAGTCAGTTGGTTTTCATGGGCTCCATTCATAGGGATTGCTACAACATCACACTTTATTTTTCCATTTCTGAATTTCCCTTCTGACTAAAACCATGTCTTTCCAGCAGCTTCTGGTCTTCACTGTACCTCCAGTCCTGATGCTTCCGGCCTCCTTGGCCCATCAATTCTTTATGATTTCACTGGCTTTCCACTCAGTCTGGGGCCCATGGGGTTGGATCTGGTTCTATTCCAAACATCCTCCCTCTCGCTTTCTTCTGCCTCCCCCATCTTGTGGGCAGGAAGCCCAGAGTTTGCTCTGCCGAGAGCCTCCCCTGCTGAATACTAGCTACCAGTCACTACAGAAAGTCATGGAGCCGCGGGCCTGATCAAATCTTCACACAGACCCCCACTGCAGCTTGGCAGTTTCTTCAATACTCTTTTCTAGAATGGTCACTTCCTCCAAGTCACTGCTCTGAGTGTCTCCAGTCTCCTCATGCCCCAAACCTCCCCTGGCTCCACTGACCCTCAGCCAACATCGGCCCCTCATTTCCTTCTTCTTCAACCCAGAGCACTTCAGTTTGTTAACCTTCTCTCCACTCTTCTCTTCTCTTTCAGACAAGCAGTATGCTGACTTTTTGTGAAAGGCCAGAACTTCTGCACACATGCTTGGACACACATCTTTTCCCTCCCCAGGATGGCTCCCTGGCCCTGATCCTACGTCCTCTGTCCTGAACATTTCCCCTCCACCTACAAAATGTTCTCACCTACCTTAGTCGAAAATAAACTTCCTCTCCCTTTGACCACACATTTCCTCCTGAAGGTCCTTCCTCTCCAACCTGACTGAAAATCTGGACCTTCTCTCCCTGCCACTCACATCCTGGAGGAACACCCTCTACCCTCATGGCAGTGAATTACTTCCTTAAGCTTGGGCACTGGCCTCCTAGTTGACCAACGTGCATCTTTGCTCAGACCCATGCAGCATCGCTCCCCTCCCCCGGGCACTGCACTGAAGAAGGGATGAGCTGTACAACCTGCTGTGCCGTGTTACAGTGCGTCCAATGTGCATGTTTCTCAGCATGTAATCCAAATGTCCTTGCCTGCCCTCCAGTCTACTGAAGAAGTGACCTCTGCAATAATTCAAGTCATCTTCCCTTTAGGGGATCAATTACTATTTTTTCTGGCAGGTTTTCACTATCCAATGATCCCTTGGTAGAAACTTTGGAATGCCAAATTAAGGAAACCATATGTGGCAGGAAAAACACTTCCCAAAGTGTCCCCACACAAGCATTTCCAGCCTCTTGTGTCCTAGGACCAAGTGCCCCTCTCTCATCTTGCTCACTTGCCAATGACCCCTCTCTCCTGTGGGTGGGATGTTAGTAGGAATCCCCAACTGACCTGCCAGTGCTGGCCACCCTTAAATCCATCTGTAGCCCCATCCTTGTGTCTTCTCTGACCAGAATCCCCCAGTGGGTCTTGGTCATCTAGTCTTTCTCCACTCCCTCCATCTTCCACAAACATTTAAGAGTCAAGGGGCACCAAGAATGCTTCAGTTTCTTTGTATGTTCACAAACAAGTTTCATTCCCTAACTTTTGCCAGGTGCTCTTGGGTCCCCACCAGATCCTCCCACCCCATTCCCAAAGGCCTATGACAAATACATCCTCTGACCTCCAGCTCCTGGAATTCCTCTTCCTCCTCCACGTCATAGGAGAGGGTATGGATTTTGATGTCGTCGCCAGAGAGGTCAATGAACTTCCCATCAGGGTACTCCAGGCTCTCCTTGGTGGGTGACCGTTCATCAATGAAAGTGGTCTCACAGCAGTCGGCAGCCATGCCATCCCCCCAGGAGCGCAGCATGCCCTCGGAGTAGAGGATGATGTTGGGACGGTAGTGGGACTCTACCGACTGCTGCAGAGTGTTGGGATCTAGCAGCTGCTGGATTGGCTCATTCCTGCTGCCGTCCAGGGTGGCCGATGCTGTGCTGCCCACCATCCGGCAGCTCTGGTACTGGGGCGCTGGGTAAACAGACACCAGGCCATCTCTGCTCTCGGCCATGAAGTTCCTGGTGTTAATTAAGCCATTCCTCTTGCTGGCATCGTTGATTTTACTGTGCACCAGCATGCTCTTCTGTTCAATTAAGCCATCCATGGTGCTCTCCCTACCCAGCGGGCTTCAGGCTAGCGGGCAAGACTCCAGAGTCACACTTGCCTCATGGGACCCATTTTTCCTGGAGGAGGAGGAAACAGATATGAGACAAGGAAATCACACCTGAAAAAGAGCTAATCACCCAGCCCCTTGTTTCAGAGTGCACTAGTCAGCCAATATGCACTGTAGCTGGGCGAGTCAGACAATGTTCCAGTCCTGCCTATTCCCCCAGTTTATAAAAGGCCCTATCAGGGCAGCCAGCCAGAGTAAGCCAGAAACTGATTACTCGCATCTCTATAAAGTCTCTGCTTCCTAATGAGGAAGACTCTGCAGGAACTGGCACCACTGCAGCTCTAGAGAAACCTACGATTGCCAGCAGACATACAGAAACCTACAGGTAAACCCAATCACATTAGCATCGGACCAGCCCATAGGGAAAATAAGGCTGTAAACCTGCAATAGGGAAGATCCAGGGCTACTCACTCGAGCAGAAAACACACAGCCCAGGAAGAAAGGGTGTAAAATAACGTCCCACACAGATTTAGAAGATAAATGACAGGAAGACCTACACCATTAGTTCTGTATATGGACAAAATTCCCCAAATGAGATAACACTCACATATACATTCTAGCACATTCTAATGTACCTATTGGAATTATCTCAACACTCACGCATGCCTACTGGCTTTCCAGCACGGTCCCAAGAATTGGACTAGAAACTTCCCTGCTTTAATTGTGCTCCACTTAGAGAAACATCTACATATTTGGGACACAGTTAAGAAGTCCTCTAAATTGTTTCTCCTTGGATTGCATTCCTTTCTAGGGTTTCAAATGTTAAAAAAAAGAAAAGAAGATAAATAAGCTTAAGATTTTTGGAGACAAGGAATCAATTTCCTCAGGCTTTTCCTCTTTGCAAGTTAAAACTATTATGTAGGGAAACATTTTGTCTTGGGGACTTCAGGTATTCTGGCTTTCTATGGGATTTAAGAATTTTCTTATATTATAACTGCTTTATTTGGTGGTAGTTACAAGAATCTAAAATTGCAGACTTACCAGAGAAGGAGAGAGAGAGAAGATGCCCTTGTGACTAATTGGAAAATAACAGTTTAACAAAGTTGACAAATGACTAGTGGAACTAGAGTATGTATATGCACTGAGAGATGGCAGGTATTATCAATGTGACACTGTGTCAAATTTAAGAGAGGTCAAAAAACACACTACCACTTCTTCATGCTTACGTGGCCTGAAGAAGTATTCAGCTCTGGAGGCACATTCACAATCTGAGAACTAAAACCATTAAACTATTTGAACAAGATCTTTCGAGCACCAGCAACATGCAAGGCACAGCACGTGTTTGAGCATCATCTCTGTGCTCTATCATCTTCCAGGCTAACGCAACATGCTTATTGAGGTATTTCTGGTCCAAATACTCAACCTCTCTAATCGTCCTCCTTCGACAGAGAAGGCGCCGGGTTGATTGCACAACTGGGCCCCTCTTATGGTTTGTGATCTGCTGGATGTACTACCAAGACTAGAATAATCTTGAAGCTCAGTTTAGTTTCTCAGACTTAGCTCTTCTACCCAGATCCATTGTAGGCATCTTACAAAAGACATTTGGTTGCATTTGTTCAAATTCCACCTCCCCAATGGAGTTGCCTGCTCTTGCCCAGCCAGAGAAACCTCTTCCTTTTCTGGTGTATTCTCAGAAGATGTGCTATGATTTCTCCTATAGCTCCTGTTGCATCCTTCTCTGCCAACGTGACAGCTACTAATGCCAGCATTCTCCCCCAGCCCTGTCCCTGCCCCTGCCCAGGAGCTCCCTGAGACCAAAGAGCCAGTGTTACCTTTCCCCTTTCTAGCACCTGGTATGCAGTAGGTATTCAATGAACGTGTGTTGAAATAAACAGTCTCAAGTGTTATGTGATTAGAATTATCCCTACTGAGTGATCTCCTTGAGCTGCACAAGCCCCAGATGTGAATCTGACATTACGGCATCTTGAAGAGAGCAGCTTAGGTCTCTTAGGCGCCCTCTAGAGTTTGCCACCCAAAGTCCTGGCTGAGAGCGGCAGCATCAGCACCACCCAGGACTGGGTTAGAAGTGCAGCCTCTTGAGTGCCGCCTGGAACTCCTGATGCAGAAGCTGCACTTTCACGTGATCACAGAGATCGCTCTGCACATTAAGGTCAAGGGACACTGTATCTACTGTGTACATGGCAAGTCTGGCCTGTTGTGCAAGTTGGCTCGATTTTACAATTGACTATTTACTATCTTTTTAAAAGTATTCAAGTAAATATATCAAACAATTTGCATTCTTAGAATATTTTTCTTCTCGACGTGAAATTTTCTAACTTTGAGTGTCATAGATTATGATTACGTTAGAATAAAAGGGGCTGAAATTAGTGGAATTTTATTTTTGTTACTGTATTGTCCTTCACTATCTCTTAGCACAGACTGCCTTGTCATATATATTGTCTTTAACTTCATAATTCCTATTAGCTCATTTCCTCTTTGGTTCCTGCTACCCACTCCTACTGACAACAGCCTTTCCCCAAGCCTGAGTTTAGCAGCTCAGAGACAACACGGAGAGAGAACGCCTCCAGTGCCGCTACCTGCTCAGTAACCCCAGTCTCCTCACCAGTGCTGTCTGGAGTTTTACCCGGTGACTGTGCTGTTCTTCCTAGGCTCTTCATAACAGACACATAATTATATAATATAACCAGTTATATTATATAACAAAGAATACTTTGCTTATTCTGTACTTTTTTTCTCAGTCCATGACGTTGAGAACCAGTGGCTGCAAAAAGGAAACCTTCTCACTTGATCCTTTATTTCTGCTTGAACAGCCTCTACTATGTCTAGGATGCTACCTTCTGTTGACGAACTCTTTCTGGGTTGCATCAATAGCTGAGCTCCAAATTTCACCCTCTGGGTGGGGCTGTGAAGTCTGTTTTTATGAGTCTGGCGGAGGCAGCTGGCTGAAGTGCACCGCTGGCCCCCCATGCTACACCTGCTGCTTTACTGAGGCTGGCAGTGGGGGAGGGGAAGAGGGGCTCCTCGTCCCTGAGGGTGACCCCCTTACTCCTCCTGCCTTGGATCTTGCTGTCTGTACTACTGCTAGAAGAACCCTCTTGCCCACAACTTTGGGTGAATATCAGGTAGATTAGAAAACTGATAGGGACTGTGAAAGAAAAAAAAACACAGAAGGTAGGAAAGCAACATCTGTACAAATGTTGTATTGCATAGAAACATTTCTCTTTACTTTTAGACTGTCATGATATAAAGAGCACTGTACTAAGAGTCAGGACACCAGGGATTTAGCCTCAATTTTGCTACTAAATGTCTGTATGATCTTGGGCTAGTTGCTTATGAAAGTAGTTAAGCAAGAAAAAGTTTAAGGTCCCTTTCAGCTCTATGATTCGCACCTCTTGGCCCTTAAGTCTTGGAGTTTTATGGGATTAGATATAGCTTTTCCACAAGGTGGGAAAAATCTCCCATTGATCACAATAGGCTAGGTTTCAGCTCAATAAAATATATATTTATCAATCGCTTATTATTGCAAGGCACTGTGTTAGATGCTTGCTGGAGATAGAAAGATGAGTTCCTAATATTAAAAGTTGAATCAATGAAAAAGAAAGCAATGACATAAACCACTGTAATAGTAGTTAGACTGAACATACCAGAAAGTCATGCCAACATGAAGCTGAAACCTAATATTTCAAAATGAGCTAAAAGGAATTGAGAAAATAATAGAAACTGTGAGAGAACAACATAAATGAGGATTGGGGAAAAAAATAAGAAGCAATGTAATTTGAGAATAGAAAGAGATGTGAACAGAACTCAGGAAGGAATTAGAAATATAAGAGAAAGTAATTTCAGAAATCAAAGCTAAACTAGAAGGGACGTAGGAGTGAATAAATGCAGTGGATCATACCTTAAAAGAAACAGAACATGGAAAATAGAAAAATGTTTTACATAAAAACAACATGAATACTTCAACTTATATGAAATTCTAGAGTAGACAAAAGTCTTGTATTATGGAAGCAATCAAAACACTGTTTGACTCAGGGTGGGAAGGACTATTTTGTGAAAAGGGCATGAGGGAACCTTCTGAGGTGATGCAAACGTTCCGTATCTTCGGAGAGCAGAGGTTATATAGATGTATGCATTTGCCAAAACTAATCAAACTGTAACACTAAAGATGTGCATTTCATTGTGTGCATTTAAAGTGCTAAAAATATTTTGAAAGTGATAAATATAGAATAAAGGCAAAGAAAGTACAATGTGCATGTAAAAGGAGACCTTGGAGAAGAAAATAAACGATAGATAACAGCGAATACCAAAATTATGATTGAAGAAAACTCCTGGAACGAATGTTGAAAGGGGCCAATAAGTATCTGGGAAAATGGACCTAGAATGACCACTCCCAATATAAATTATAGTAAATCTGCTCAAGCTTAAAGAAAAACAAACAAATATAAAATCATATTTGGCTATTCAGAGAAAAAAACCCGAGTCATTAAAATGACTAAGAAACTCAGATTGTCATCAGACTTGTCAACAAAAATGCCTAACAACAGAAGCCAATGAAGAGGACACTGAAGACACTCAAGGCAATCAAATGTGAGTCAAGGATTTTATATCCAGTCAAACTGACCTTCAAGTTCAAGGCTGTAGGTAGGCTGATGTGAAAGAACTGGATGAATTTTGTTCATGTGAGATCTTCCTGTGGAAGCTAAATGAATATAAGCTACAATCAAAATGACCAGACAGATGTTACATAAAGGCTGGCAGCTGTCAATGGCAACCAGCATGACAAAAATAAAGACAACAGACATTACACGCCTTCTGATGGAAATACATGTCATCACCCATGAAGTCTTCTTGCCAAACAAAACACAACAAAAAACAATCTTATTTTAATCAAATCTATATCTAACTACCAATTATAGGAAATTCAGATGACAGAGGAACATGCTAAATGACATCACGGGTGTATGCAAGAAGTAAAATCCAGAATGTGGACAACTCTACAGGAAAAATACCCAGAAATTGTAAGGATTA